AGGCAGCACTAATCGATTGGATCCCCATTAACAGTCGGTTATGTGCTGTTAGATTAGAAAGTTCCATCAAAGTGAGAAGAAATCGGCGTGAGAAACGGTGTCTTTTCGTCATCTTCGCCTATGCCCCGACGGATTGCAGCCCGGATGCAATCAAGGATGAGTTCTACCACCAGTTAACAGTTCTTCTCCAGAAAGCGCGTTCGACAGATATTGTAGTACTAGCCGGAGACTTGAATGCACAGGTCGGGCGTCTAGGCACAGAAGAGAGTCGTGTAGGTGGCCGATGGGGACTTGTTGGTCGCCGGACAGATAACGGGGACCGTTTGCTGCAACTGTGCACAGACCACAACCTGTTTCTGGCCAGCACTAACTTCCGGCAAAGTCATGGACGGTGTGCCACCTGGCGTCCTCCCTCTGCATCCCAAGCCTGGACTCAGATTGATCACATCGCGATCAGCTACCGATGGCGTGGTTATGTACAAGACTGCCGCTCCTTTTGGAGTACCTATCTGGAGTCTGATCATGCCCTGGTCTGCGCCAATCTCACCTTACTTTTCAGTGGCCGAAGGATTGACCACCACCAACGGATTGATATTAGTAAACTGGCTGCAACTTCTGTTGCAAGTAAGTATCGAGCGGAGCTAGCCTCTAGGCTAGCTACCACCCCACCGAAAAGTATAGATGAGCATTGGTTGCATCTTCACGACGCTATGAAAGTGGCGAGTAAAGCCGCTTGCGGCTTCGCGAAACGTCCCGCTTACAAGCACTGGGTTTCTTCTGGCTCCTTACAACTGATGGAAGCCCGTCGGTCTACTCCGGGTGACCGTGAGTTTGACCACAAACGAAGGCTGTTACGTAATGAAATCGGGTAAAGCTTGCGTAAGGACCGAGAAGCCTGGTGGTCGGAGAGTGCTAATGAGATGGAAGCAGCAGCTGTATCTGGTAACTGCCGGAAGCTCTTCCAACTCATCCGAGCCACTGGCAGCAAGAAGTCTGGTGTGAGTGAAACAATCTACGAGGATGACGGGGTGCCAATCACTAACATCTCTCGACGTCTTGGACGATGGGCGGAATTCTTCGAAGGGCAGTTCAACTGGCCTGCTGCTCCGGCAACATCAACCAGCTTGTCCTGCCCCCCATGGCCGGTGACGACTGATCCACCAAACGAGGCGGAAGTCCGCAAGGAACTCCAACTCTTGAAGCGCTACAAATCACCTGGCCCAGATGACTTACCTCCGGCTCTTTTTAAAGATGGTGGCGACTTTCTGACTAAGGAATTGACTGTGTTGTTTGGAAAGGTTTGGGAGCAAGAAAGTGTTCCAACATCATGGAATTAGTCGATAGTCGTCCCTATCTTTAAAAAGGGTTCACGTTGTTCCTGCAATAACTATCGGGGGATAAGTCTACTTTCGATTGCGTCCAAACTATTGGCTTCTATCATTCTTCGTAGGTTGTTTAAAACCCGAGAACGATTGACTCGCGAGGAGCAGGCTGGTTTTCGTTCTGGTCGAGGATGCATTGATCACATCTTCACCCTCCGCCAAATGTTAGAACACCGTCATACTTATCGCAGGCCAACAATCGTAGTGTTTCTTGATATCAGGGCGGCCTTCGATTCGTTGGACAGGACTGTCTATTGAAGAAGGGTGTGCCTGAGAGGTTCATTAACATCTTAAAGGCCCTGTATACGAACACCTCAGGCATAGTGAGGGCATACAACCACTTTTCTCCCTTGTTCCATTCGAACAGTGGGGTTAGGCAGGGTTGCCCGATCTCACCATTCCTCTTCAACTTTGCTATCGACGACATCCTGGAAACAGCTCTGATGGATGTAAGTAATGGCAGTGTGGATATGTTGCCTGGAGAACGACTTCTCGACCTTGAGTATGAAGATGATATTGTCTTACTGTGCGATAATGCCCAAGCCATGCAATCCGCACTTAATCAGTTGGCAATCAGTGTCCGTAGGTACGGCATGTGCTTTGCACCCTCCAAGTGCAAAGTACTCCTACAAGACTGGCAGGATTCTCATCCTGTACTCACCCTGGATGGTGAGGAGATCGAAGTAGTTGAGAAGTTCGTGTATCTAGGTAGCTATATAAGTGCTGGTGGTGGCATGAGTGATGAGATCGATGCACGTATAAGGAAAGCCAGAGCGGCTTATGCCAATCTGGGCCATCTTTGGCGCCTTCGTGATGTTAGTCTGGCTGTAAAAGGTCGGATCTACAACGCGTCGGTGAGAGCAGTTTTGCTCTATGCTTGTGAAACCTGGCCTCTCCGAGTTGAGGATGTTAGACGTCTCTCTGTGTTCGATCATCGTTGTCTCCGAAGGATTGCTGACATCCAGTGGCAACACCATGTTAGTAATGCAGAGGTTCGGCATCGTGTGTTCGGGCGCAGGGACGATAATTCAATTGGTGTCACCATCTTGAAACACCGACTTCGGTGGCTTGGACATGTTTTACGAATGTCGTCCCAGAGACTTCCACGTCGTGCATTATTTGCCGACGGTGGGACTGGTTGGAAAACGCGGAGAGGAAGTCAGTGTATGACATGGTGTTGTGGCATGAAAGAGAGCTGCAAAGGGCTAGCTTCCGTTGGTCCTTCACGACTCCCTGGTTGGGGTCCGAGAGATGGTGCAACACAGTGGCTAGAGACGTTATCAGATATGGCTCAGAATAGAAGCCAGTGGCGATCCTGCTGCAACCTTCTTTTACTTTCTACATAAAGAATGGTTCTAACTTTCCTAACTGAAAGAGTCTTCTGGTTGTACATTTCAGCCCGCCTTATCTTTTCATCCCTTCTCTTCCTACTTTCATTATTTTGTGTGGCGCATATGTACCTGGTGCCCTTTTGTACCAATGTATATGTGTTTAAATAAATAAATAAATAAATTGCATGTGAATAAGCCGAAGACGGAATTAAAGTGACTTTCGTACAATAAGGAAATCGAGCCATGATTTACTGTGTGAGATAACAGCAAATACAAAGCGCATAGTAAACAATAATTTAAATGGTAACCACCAATGTAACTAAAGTTTAGGTTTAGATAACGTGATCGTTTCGCAAAAAAAGCATATTATCTAGCTCTAAGTGACATCAAGTACGACGAAGTGTCTCATTAAGACATGGACTAAGATTACTCGTGTACATGAAATACGTTTTTTCGGAGTATGTTGACTTACGAGTCATGAATGCAAGTAGTTTCGACTAAAATTTGATGGCAGGGACAGAATGTATGCCTAAGTGAATGTAGCCGTGGAATGTTATTAGACACCATAAACATTATACGAAATTATTTAACAGTTATGAAACTCGCATGGGTTACTCTTGCTCCAAAGTAATTGAAATTTGTTGATTAACTTCGTAGATTAACGAAGCGTTGTAGACTGAATTGGAATAAGTCTTATTTAGGTCGAAAACGTAGAATTGCCTGACGAAGTCTAAACAAGATCTAACATTGCAGGAAATTTATAGTTCAAACTCACCGTAAATTTCTAGCATTTGTATCCTCTGATTCGCCATGGAACTCAGCAATTGGAAATTAGGCATGCAGTGGTCAAGAAAGTAAAATATTCTAGTAGATAGTTTTTGATAGTAGTTAGTTGACAGTGAATAAGTAGAAAGATGAATTTAATAATCGGCAGTTTATCCTGTATTGGTTATACAAGTGGATAAGTTGCAAACAGATATGCGTACGTGTTGCCTTGAGGCCATACTTACGAGTGGTTGATATTTTAACAGACATATTACACAGGAGCATTTACATGCTGCTAATGCTTGTTAAAGAACCACGATAGTCGTAGTTGATTGGTTAGTTCTATCGATTGAACTAATTATTTCAGTTGAAATACTAATCAACATTGATATGAAGCAACGAATGTTCACAGAAACTGATAAAGATAGCCGAAGTTAAAAATGAAAAATAATAAGTACAGAATGCAATAAAAAAAATAATGATAGGTTGCGTTATTCGAAGTCTTGCTCACCAGTGTAGACCATCTACGTTGATGATCTATGTCAAAATGATTGGGGGCCTACTAGAGTTAGTCGAGAATGGTGACGAACCAACTAACGCTGAAGTCACACCTCGCGACCAGCCCTTACGTGCATTGAACCATCGACGCATCAAAGGATAATGGATGCTATGGAGACTGTACAACACAAAGGACGTTATTACAAGAATATATTAGTTAAGGTACAACTATGGAAGTACAGAAGTGAAAGAATAACCACTGCAGCGTGGGCCAGTCCATGGCGTACGATTGGTTTTGTATGCGTTGACTATCCTTGACCTTGACAGGGATCAGTGATCTGTTCGATATTCAGTGACCCTACAGTCCCAACACAAACCGTAGGTGTAAAATCCAGAAAATGGAGACACAACACATCAGAACGGACTGTAGACACACCTTCTACTCCTTAAAAGTAGTCAAATGCTGGAATTCGCTGCCGGCTGAGCTAATTTGAGCGACTTTTTAGGAGTCCTTTAAGAGAAAAATTGACATATGCAGAAGGAATAAGGACACTATTTTACTATAATTTACTATTATTTTCTCCCTCTTATCGTTAAATGTACATAGGTTTCTACGTGGCGGCATCGGTGACCCACTGATACTACATATAGAAGCCCGTCAAGCCTAAGCGGTGAAACTATAATTTATGGACGACCTTTGAGCAACGCTGAAATAACCTTGAAAATGTCATCTACTAACTAGGGTTAACTAAAGGTTATAAATTAGTGCGAGGAACTAGGATTAGGATTTATAATTAAACGCTAGGGTAAGAAATTATGTTTAATGTTTTCATCACGAACTGACATCAGCTATAGTGCCGAAATGGTATTTAGCCAAATGAGTGAATGAATCTCGCGCCAAAGTCTGATTGGTTCGTCCATAAATTATAGTCTCGCCGCCTAAGCTTCTTCTATTCCGTCCAGTACCATTTGAACTATTTGAACCATTTCAATCATTTAAATTTTGTCCTTGACAGAACTTGTGAAGGTCATCTGTTTTGTGCGTTGGGTGTGTGTAGGACTTAGCATCTTTGCCTTGTTCTATGGTACCGAGTGAACACATTTCAGACCCTTCCCCTCCACCAGTTTTATTAAAGTGTGCTAGTGGTTTCCATAGACAGTATGCATTAGTATTACAAAGGAGGATAATTACATTACTTTCGTGGTTTGACCACCTGTAGGCTCTAACTAAATTGGGTTAGACGCCTATGGTTATCTATAAGTGTCAGTTAAAAAGCTCTCAGTAAGTTTTTTGCTTCTTAGGAATACTGGTTAGTGGTAAATAAGACTTCAATTCGGGCAGTTTAATACCATCAGATCAAGAAATACAGTCTGTCCTTGGTATTTAAGAGTTATCCATAAACTCCCTGGTTTCTCTAAGAGTCGGGGACCTCGTATCGAGTTATATTCAAATTTTTTCAATAGTAAGCAACTTACGAGTAATTGGGGACTAATACCAGCTCTCTTGTTGCTTTCTGGAGTTAGATGCTTTTCCGAGATGTTTCCTCCTCAGCAAATAATGATTTAAGTCGATGCATATTTATATCAGGTAGTACATTGATTAAGACCGAGTTCCTTCACTTGCCTAATTTAAGAGTAGAATGCCGTTTTCACAGCGGTTTTAACAACTAAATCCTTAACATCACTATCGGATGGGTTTGTACAAACGTCTGGCATAACTTACCATTGATACCTCTTCAATCGCATTTGTGTCCATAACTCATCACTGCTTGTGGTCATAGAATGGTCCTTTTGTTAGTCTGCAGTTAAGTAGCTTCTAACTATCTCTGAAAACCAACTAAGTTTGTTTTTCGGTTATCTGTTAGTAAATCATAAGTTTCCAAAGTCGGTCTTTCCTATTTTACGACTTTAATGTATGTGTTTAAAGGAAAAGACATTAATATAATGAAAATATTCCATAATAAGTTCTTTTAGGCTTCTGTCTTGACAGTTCTACTTCAGTAGACGGCCAATTAATGAAGTTTGACGTCCCTGTTTTCAGAAAACTGCAAACTTTCTGGATGTGGTTTAGCAATGACATAGAATTAGTAACTGTAAGTCACAGTGTAAAATTGGTTCCAGATCTATTCTTCATTTATACATATACCTGTAATAACCTATTGAAATTAACTTTGATCGGTGTGAGATAGACGTTCTTTTGGAAATATAACACGATATATTTCATTTTTAGGCTTTGAACTTGTCTGCTAATCCTTGTTTATTATTTTATTTTATGCGGATGTTTTTGTATACACGCTGAGTCTTGGTCGTGTTTTTTTTCCAGATCGCTTTACGGAATTATTTGACAGTCATTACCAGTTTTATGCATGATCTATGTGGTGCGCCCTTAACAAAAAAACAACTCAGATATTCATCTGCTAAGGATTGAGTTGAAGTGTGATATTTTCGACAGTGGTTCTAAAGTATAATCATAATAATAAGGTCTACACACATTCATCTAACGTCTTTTAATTTTTGGTCATGAGTAACATTTACGTTACCGAACCAGCAACTCATGGTAAAGTTATTCTAAAGACAACAGTTGGGGAAATAGAAATTGAGTTATGGTCTAAAGAAGCCCCTAAAGCATGCAGAAATTTTGTCCAACTGTGTATGGAGGGCTACTATGATGACACATCATTTCATCGGCTTGTTCGTGGTTTTATCGTTCAAGGTGGAGATCCGACAGGTACTGGAGAAGGTGGAGAAAGTATTTACGGACAACCTTTCAAGGTTGGTCAAAAGTATTTTACTTTCTTTTTATGTATCTTTCGACTTTATCGTGGTTTTTGTCCTGGCTTTTAGTTCGTTTTCCCTTATAATGGGACTACCAGATCTTTATATTTGCTTGATTCCATCATTAAAGAACACAAAATTCAGCAAAATCCCTCCTTGAAAAACTTGTTACCAAAGAGGTCACAAAATAGTAATTCATATATGTTCTTCAAAGAGTTAAATTCTCCAAGTAAATATGAACAGTAAATAATTGTGGCAACGTAATACCAATTGTAATACTTAGTTGTACAGTATTAATGATGACAATATAAAATTGCTTGAATAAAGGTTGTTAAACTAACAACTGCTAAACAACAACTACAAATTGAGCTAGGTCATCAAAGTCAAACGAACCTCTAGACAGACAACTAACCGTATTTATTTGACTGTAAATTTTATTTGAAGGGATTTTTTGAAGTCACATTCTATTTCATTTTGTTAGTAACCAACTTACTGTGTCTCTTACTTCTATATTCAGACGGAAATTCATTCAAGACTATCCTTTAACCGTCGTGGCCTTGTTGGGATGGCGTGCCTTGAAGAAAACATGAACGGGAGTCAGTTTTTCTTCACTCTCGGGCCGGCTACAGAACTTACAGGAAAACATACACTGTTTGGTCGTGTGGCTGGTGAAACTCTATTCAATATGCTGCGGCTCGGTGAAGGAGATATAGGTCGGAACGAACGGCCGTTAAGGCTTCATCGGATTGTTAGCACTTATGTAAGTCACCATATATATATATCCTTTAATAAAGTATCCAAAATTCTGCATTTCAATTACATGACTGCATAAATTGACTTGTTTTTATATCTTAAATGAGCAACTTACTCGGAACTTATCGTCTACAAATCACCACCAAGTTATATCTATAAGTGTACCGTACTATTAATCAAAAATAGTGCTCCAGATAGTAGACAAATTCTAATCCTGTTACCTGATTTATACTAAAAAACTTTCGGGATTCAATAGGTTTCTCTACTCTAGAGCAAATACTGGTTAGGTTCAAATAAATGAGGGTGTATTTATCTGGTCAAATTAAGCGAAAATTGTGATATCACTCCATAACACCTTTTTAGCTTGTGCTACATTACGTAAATTTTAGTCCTGGGTAATGTCAATTTAAAGATCTACTTTTGAGCTCCTTTTTATGTATATTAGAGACTTGTTAGGCAGTATTATCAAATAAGCACAAAATATTGTACTCATGTGAGTATACGACTGAATGATATAAATGATTTGAGTCATTTGTTTGTTAGTGTACAACAAACGATATTGAGTTTAAGCTGTAATAATTAGAAAGTATTATGTTAATAAGATGTGGACTAAATTCTAAACATTTAATTCAGTCTTTTTAATGGTTGCATCTGTTAAGCTTGTAGAAGTTAGGTTTAGAAATCATTAGTTCTTTTCGGTTTTCTGTTGTAGCAATATACTAATACAGCAAATGCTCTACTGTTCTCCAATTTTGGTTACATTTCAATAACCAGTCACTTGTTAAATCTATTTTCGACATACTTTTCGTGCATTATTGTGTCTTTGATTTGTACAGTTGGTTGTAATCCAGTGGTGTTGAAATAAGTTTTCTCGTAATTTAAATTTTTTCCCTCTAAAGTTATGGTTCGCATCGTGTAGATTTCAGGTTTTGAGCATATGGTCGTAAGTTTAAACCCTACCTCGATTTGGTGTAGATGGTCATTTCAAAATGCCAAAGACTCATAACTCAGTAGTTTGCGTTTATTTTTGCTCAGTGAATCATTTACTTCTGTTTATCTGTTAGCCACAAACCTTGACAAGCCTTAATTCAGGTAGCGCTTATCTTTGCAATTCACCCGCTACAAGATAAACAGGATTATGTGGGTATTTTGCTAGCCACAACTGTATCCACATATCTCAAAAAGTTTAAGACTGTTTATCTAACTTGATTTGTTGATAGGTTATACTGAACCCGTATGACGATATTGAACCGAGGCATCGGCCAAAGCAGATAGTTCAATCGGGTCCCGAAGAGGAACTTAAAGTCACTGCAAAAGCTACAAAGTAAGTCAACCTATCTCTGTAAAACAGACTTGATTTTCATAAACGTTTATACCTTGTTACCATAACTAGGTGTAAAAGATTCGGGGGAAGAAGTCATTGTTTCAATTATATTATTACAGTCGTTTATGTGAAATCGTAATCCATTCTTAACTGGTGTTAGATAAGTGGGCATAGTTGTCCGATACTAGACATAGTTTCAGTAAGTATTTTAAAAGACTGAATAAGCTAATAAGTTAATGCTAATTTATTAAGTTAAACGATGTAACAAGGGTAAATATATGTATACAAACACAAAACGAAACTATGGAGCGAAAAAAATGAGGATAATGAGTGACCAAAACAGTAAAATGATCTACAATTTAGCTATCGAGTTAAAATTCTGTTTTTAGTAATGCATCTAGAAAGCGAACGCTAGGTTGCGTCAATGTACTTTACTCTGTAGGTGAATTTTCAAATGCCCAAAGAATTGAGTAGGTGCGACAGTTTATCATTCAAGCATATTTGAAGCATTTGGCTTGGGAAATTTATTCATAGCTTTACTGTGAGATAGGTTTTTTCCAAAAAATGGGACAATGGGTATCTTAATGTTTCTACCGATAAGGAACTTTCGCATTCTCTAAAACTGAGTTTTACGTTATAAAATTTTGAACCAGTATCATATCGGTTGTATTCATTTCGTCTGCCGTGCAAGCATCCGACTGTAGTTGCTACCCTGATGCGGTGGTCAGGTTTGCCTATCATGATGACCCAACGAGCCATATTGGCTAGAACACTTGTTCCTTTAGGTCCTTCCATGCAAGGCAGGTTGTCTGGAGAACGGTAAGACTAAAAGCTGCAACTTAAGGCCCGAGGGCGGAGCTCAACAGCTCTGTTCAACCAAACGGGACGGTAAGAACTCGGAAAGTTAAAGACACGCCGTTGCTTTTTCGTTGTCTCTGTCTACGCTCCCACTGATTGAAACTCGTATGAAGTTAAAGGTGAATTTTATGGGAAGCTATCCAACCTTTTTCAAAAGGTAAACTCTCTGATGCGGTAAGTTTCAGGTGATTTTAGTGCTCAAGTAGGTAAACTAAACCAAACCGTAAGGCACTTAGGCAAATCTTACAGTGTTGCGGCTCAGAGTACTGGTAATGGCAGACGTCTGTTGCAACTATGCTCGGATAACCGTTTATTTCTAGAAAACACCAACTTTAGACATAAGGAAAAAAAATCGTGTGACGGGGCAACCTCCACAATCGACTCATAGATGGACTCAAATAGACCACATTACCATTAACCATTGATGAAGGGGCTCGATAGAAGACTATCGCTCATTTTGGAGGACATATTTAGACTTGGATCATGCTTTAGTTTGAGCACGTTTATTATCTACGTCTTTCTGGATGAATAAAATCGCTAACAAGAAGACCCCTTAGAGTCTAACTTAATGATGAAAAAGTTAAGAATATGTTTATATATAACTGTTTAGACTTATCAAGGAGATGGGTATTAAAAATGAGAGTGTTGGTGAAACTATCTCGAAAAATGAGGGGACTACTACTCACTCACTCTCAAGCCAAGAGATTAGACTGATGGGCAGAAAACTTTAGGGGACAGTTCAACTAGTCTTTAGTCTCACTTCAGTTACTCACTGTCTGAATGGCAAACTAATGCAAGTCCCCTAACTCTTAGTATGGTTGAGAAGTCTATTAGTAATCCAAAGCGAGGGAAAGCCGCAGGACATAATGAACAAAGTCCTAAAATTTTTAAGGATGGTGGTCCAGTTTTAGCAGTTAGATTAACTGAGATCTTAGCTGAAATCTGAGAACTGAACGTAATCCCATCTGACTGGTCCCGGTCGCTGATCATTCCAGTTTATGAGGACAAAAATCCTCTTGTAACAATCACGGAGGTATCAGTTTAACTAATATAGTGTCTTAAATATTAGCCTCAATAATACTTCGATGTCTAACTAGAGCTTGTGAAGGGAAAACTGGGCTTGTCTCCGGCTTCGATATGGATATATGGACCAAATATTTATCCTTCGGCAGATTCTGGACCATAGACATACTTTTTGACGCCCTACTATTGTTTTATTCTTTGACCTTAATTCAGCCTTCAAATTTGTTGATTGTGAAGTTCTCTGGCGATGTCTCATTTTAAGGCGTACCAAAGAAAACACATTAACCTTGTAAAGGCTCTCTTCTCGAACACTTCTGGTCGGGTCTAAGCTTATGGAGAATTGTCGTCGGAATTGGTTACTTCAAGTGGTGTTCGTCAGGGTTGTCCGCTTTCTCCACTTTTATTTAACTTTGTCATAGACATGCTTTTAGAGATAACACTTCCATCGTCTAACTTTTCGAGGATTGATCTTCTACCAGAAGATTCACTTGTTGACTTAGAATACGCAGATGATATAGTTCTATTCGATGAAGACGTTGACAAAGCGTAGAGTCTTCTGACCACCCTAAGTAACAATAGAAGTATGTTTGGTATGTAGTTCTCTTTTTCTCCAAATGTGAAATGTAACCTCAAGATTGGCTTGCTTCATTGCCCAAATTATTGATAGGGAGTGAATTAGTTGAACGCATCAACTACTCCGCTTATCGCGGAAGTCTCGTCAGTACTGATGGTCTGGTGACGAAATCTCGTGATGGATTCAGAATGTTCAGTTTTCTTTTGCTAACTTGAGTCACTTGTAGCGTAGGTGAGATACCCGTCTCCTAACCAAAGGACAAGTTTGCTGCTCAGCAGTTCGTCTGTTCTACTTTATAGATGAGAAACATGACCATTAAGAGTAGAGGATATCCGCAGGTTACTGGTAATTCGATCATAAGTGTCTACGAAGAATTGCTCGTGCATTTTGGGACCTCGGAGTAAGTAATGCCCTGGGTTAGGAATAGAGTACTAGGTAAAGATAGTAAATTGATTAGTAAGGTAGTAAATTTTCTGGTGCATGAGCAGGCTGAAAGAAAGCTAGGGACATCCAAATTATAACATATTATTAGTCCATGAAATCACTGACAATTGGACTTCAGCATGTTAATAAGTACAGACTACCTAGTCGGTGTCCGCGTGATTATCTTAACCAATGGTTAGAGACTTGGAATGGTACGGCTCAAAATCGTTTGCAACGGCTCAGGTGCATCCATTCTGTCTTCTCGCGAATTCTGGGCTTCTGAATCCCTCATAAATTTTCATGTTTTATTTCACTAATTTATATTTTTAATCGTATCTAATGGGGTATGGCAACTTAAACCGATGTATATACATACTAGGTTCGACGTTGTGACCGACTGAAACTAAGAAACAAACTAGGTTAGCACCTATCACCACCATGTTTTGTTGCTAACTGAATCGCGGATCTACTACTATGCCGGGATTTGGACGTAGGACCTTCAGGTCTCACAACCTTTAAACTACTAAACTGGCGTTTAACGGTCTACATATCTCACTTCAGTCGGTCCTGTATATTACACAACCATCTTCCAATGTCATTGGCGAGTAACTACTTCGCACCCAGACTAGTTGAACTGGTCGCGGTTTCTCATTATAACTCCGGGAATCACCTCAAAATTAGTACTTAGTAAGCAAAATCTCACATGAATTTTAACAGGTGAAATGTATTCGTCACTATTATTTTATATTTTCATTTTATAATACTTATTAGTATTTCTACGTAATACTATTTACTAACAAAGTTCCCTGTATTATACCATTGCTAATTTTATTAATCGTTTATTCTGTAGGAATTTCTCTCTACTATCTTTCGGCGAAGAAGCGGAGGAAGAGGAAGAAATTGTGAACACAGTAGTTGAGGTGATTTTCAATGTACATAATTTTTAGCGTTAATTTTTCATATACATACATATTTCCTCAACAACAGTTAATACGATTTATTTGTAAAAAAGACTCCAAGTTATCCTTAGATTTCATTTACGATTTTTAGAAATTTCGACAAAAGAGTAAAAGTGCTCATGATCTCCTTTCTGATCCTCGTCTTAGCTCAATCCCGGTGATGATAAGTGATGAAGATGCTGAGGCAGTTAATCGTGCGAAATCAGAATTGGAAAAAGAAATTCAAGAACGACAACGGCGACGTGATGCAGCGCACCTTCAAGAAGATGAAGCTAAAGCTAAACGAATGTAAGCCAGTTGATATTTCTCGTATAAATTTTATTTATGATTGAAAGTAACATACCGTTTATTGTTGGTGCCTTTGTGCTAAATATGCATCCCATTTCTTTTCTCTCTCCACTACTTGTAACTTTATAGGGGATCCATAATTTTTAATCCCATATATTGAGTTTTTCTTAACGTTTGGTAAATGAAAAAAGTGTCTCTTTTTATTTCAATATTTTTTGTTGGTACAGAAATGCGTTTCACTTAAAGATGATATATATTGGGCGGATGAAGCCAATTGACTGGAAGTGCTTGTTATGTAGAAGGTTTTCTGTGGTTTGGTTGAGCAAAACTTCCGATTGTTAAAATCAATGAATACGATGCTAATCGATAGATGAACACAATAATATAAACTTGAATGAAGAAAAAACAAATATCGTAGCAGAATAATATGAATTATTTTGTTTCGTGGATTCTCCTCAGTTGCTTACAACCTAAAACTATAGTATCAACCATTAAAACAAATGTACATATTTTAATTCAGAAACGTGTAGAATAAACTGGGTTAAAATGTGGAGATAGGATGATATTAAGAGACCATAATACTGAAAAATAAAAATTGTTCAACTGTTCGCTTATTTATAAGTTAAGTTTTTGAATATTATAGAAGAGTATAAAAACAAAAAAATGTATTTTCTTGAAACGGATTATGTAATAGACTAGTTGAGTAAAACTCAGAATTAAGATACCAGAAATTTGGCTAACGAGATCTTACTTAATAATCTTACAAAAAATAAGGTCACTAGGGTGAAAAAAGATTTATAACTGTTTCTTTTTGGATACATAAATTCAGTTTACATTGCAACAGCTTCAGAAAAGCGTAGCAGTTTTGGATATTCTTGTTTGTTGATTATTTTGAAAGACTTAGCAATTTCAACAACATCCCCACAATCGAGCAAATGACTAGCAATTACATTGTTGAGAACCTTCTGTCCATTCGGTCTCAACTTTTGTGGAGTATTTTCGGGGGTGAGGAATGAGTTTACCTTTATTGATATGGCTGACTGGGTAACTAAGTGTTTAGGGTTTGCTGTTTATCCTTTGTAGCGAAATGTTGCGACAAGAAGCTGAAGAATTACGTCGTCAAATTGCATTGTCAAAGCAGGCTGAAAAAAACAAACAGTTGAAAGAGAAGGAAGAATTGGGACGTAAGGCCCGTGAAGCTCAAGAGCAAAAAGAACAGGAAGAAGCTGCCTTGGCCCGCTGGGAGGCTAAACAAAAAGGTGAACTTGGTGGTGATTCAAAGACTACTCAACCTTTGGTAGATGATTTAGACACTTTTACAGCTGATTTTGCCAGTTACAAAGCAAAATCAAAAAAAGCTATAAAGGTGAGATTATACGCAATAATTTCATGTCCCTAATTTATTGAATCAGAATGATTTTGTCAAATCCAAGCTTCACTTGTTGAATACATGCGGTTTCGATGTTTTTCTAAAAGTTGTATGACGTCCACTCATTATTTTAGAGTTCATTGAAATGTTCAGTATCTGATAAAAGTCAAACATATATCACAATATTACTTTCTGTTTGTATGTTATTTTTACGCAGAAATTTTATTAAAATATATAATATAGATTAGATTCTCTTATATTATGATAACGCTAGATGAAGATATGACAGTACTTATTTCAAGTTCATTTCTCACATTGTTGCGCATAGTCTCCTTAAATTCTCTAAATAATGAAATGTACTAATTCTTTCCTCTCTACATCTTTTTCCATATTCTTGAAAATCAATATTCTATCATATTTTCTGTTGAGTTTTGTAATATTTCTTTGTATTTTCTTACTTTTAGAATACTTGTGAATTACGTTTCATATATCACAAAGACATGTTTAATAAAAACGGCATTTTATTTTATTTCAACACATAGATATTGGTACAAAGGGGCACCAGATAAATATGCACCACATAAATCTCATTTGATTTGTGTGAGGGATGTGATACTACCCAGGTGCCCAAACCGAAACAGGTGGTTTTCTTAGGGGCCCACACCCGGAGCCTTTGACCTAAAGGTCCGATCCCTAAGGCCGTGGGGCATCGTAAGGAGATGCAGTCTCATGGTAGCTGGTGACCAACAATTGATTCATACGCCATTTGTTCCTTCAGGATGCTGGAATCCATGTGTACCATTGGTTTGGAATCAGGGTTTTCGAACTCCCCTGGGTGAGCTTTCCGTGTTCACCAACCCGGTTAAGGTGCCGGACATTTGCTTTTCATCCTCTCAATTTCGTAAACAACACCCCCGCCACGAGAAGGCAGTGAGTAGGACTTCACTGGCAGAGGCTATATACGCGTGGCCATGTGAGAGCATTTCGAAAGGGAAAGCGTACTCTCCCCACTCTCCACTGTACCAGAGCATTTGGGGGCAGATTTCGCAAAAACAACATTAATGACGAAAAAATTTGGTTGTTACATTTTCTCAACTCTATATTCATCTATTACATCTTACCTAAATCTCACTAACTTTTGGTATACAATTATTTCAGTATTTCCATAAACTAAGAACTAAAAAGATTGTAGGATGAGGTGAATTAATTTTATTTCATGTATTCTAGATATTTGACATCTTTACTGATTTTGTATAAATTAATAAACTGTTTCATTAATCTAATATTATGTGGAACATGTATTATGTCAAAACAACCTGTGACTTAATTTCATAAAGACATTTGGTTTAATTAATTAGCAAAAAAATAGGCCTGATTTGGAAATAAAGATTGACTAGTCACTGTTTATTGTTCGGTGTTGTAAAATTATTTCGACTGTTTCTATCAAGGTAGTTCATTTTAAATTATCAACTGTAGTTTTTTGTTTTTTATTTGTCTACTAATCGTAAAAGCTGCAATTCTCTTTTGAAATGATATATATTTATTTTACAGGGTTCTGAACGTGAAGCTGTAACTTTATCATTGTTGGAGCGATTTGGTAATCGTCTTCGTAGTGTTATTGGTTCCGAAGAATCAAACGAGGAGCTTGGCAAATTTTCACCTATGGATGATTGGTATGTTTGTCGTTGACACAGGGAACGATTTGTTTTATTCGAAACAAATGGTACATATGATTCTTCTGTTAAAATATTCATTGTAATAGATAAATGTTATTTACTTTAGGATAAGAGTAATAAAAAAAATAGTTTGGTGATCTAAATTACACAATCCACGTTTGGGAAATATTTTTTCCTGGTAGTTTCTATTTTCGAGCTGTTTGCTCCACGAATCGATTTTTTGTGAGCGTCCAGCACGTTTATCTAGCAAAAATGTTGCATTTGTCACGAAGGGAAGAAATCAGGAAATATTTTCAACGGATCTGTATTGGCCCAATTTAAAAAATAAGCTTTTAGTTATTCCGTTAAAGTCTCATGTCCTTCCTCACGTCAGATACTGTTTTCATCCGTCAAACATCAAGTGTAATTCAAGGCTAATTGTACGAACTTGTACCTCACTTATTGGGTAGTACCGGCTTCTAACAATTACCTTTAAAAGTTTTGTGAATATTTGAAGTAAGTCGAGAATATAAGAACTAACTAAATGTTTTGCGTTAAAATAATATAATAATTGAGTGCTGTCAAAAGGGGCTTAAAACTTAAGAATAAATGGTTAATGAATTATAAGCAAACCGAATGAAATTGGTAATTTTAGAATCTGAGAATTCGGAAGATATCCGGGCAGCTAATCGTTATATTTAGACATAACATAGAAGACCAAAGAACACATTACGCCGAGAAATAGAGACAGACATGAGAAGAATGAACAAGAACTGGAAAGAACTAGAAAAGAAGGCCCAGGACAGAGTGGGTTGGAGAAAGCTGGTCGGCGGCCTATGCTCCATTGGGAGTAACAGGCGAAAGTAAGTAAGTAAGTAAGTAATAGATCTGCAGTCTGACAATTGCCGGAATGAACGCTTCAAACAACGTAACATTAAATAAATTCTACACGTTGTTCAAAGTGATTATATCAGTAGGTCTTATAGAAGGACTACAATTAATTAATGATTTGTTTTTCAGTTCTGTTGTGTTCTTCCTAAACTATCAATTTAACTTCCTTTCATTTTATTCTGTCAACCTCAATTATACTTCCCCCGCACCGCTGTAGTAAACAAAGACTTCAGCGGGAAAACCAATTTGTTTTTCGATGCATAATTACAAAATGCCTTCGTAAGATATCATAGCCATACATTAAATACATTATTTTCACACTTTCCTTCAGTTGTTCTTTACATGCTTCATGGTTTTTTCAATTCTGTTGTTACTACAATTGCTCTATGTTTCTCTTCCTGTTCTCTTCAAACCAATCATCTCAATCTCCTGCTGGCAGGCATTCCACTTCCGATTGCTGCTATATACTACTTATATCTGTCAACATAAGTAGCCTACACCACACTACTACTTCTTTTGATGTATACATGTTCGTTGATGAATTATTCTGTTAAAATTACTATACTTTTTAAGCAGTTGGTTAAAACTCTCTTATTGTTATTCTTTTATGAAAAGTGTTTGATAATATCCTAAGTTTTTTCCAATACTGGAAAATTTTTTCATTAGTAGTTTCATTCTGAACAATATTCAGTGCATAAAGTAAAAATAACACTGAATAGATTCTATTTTTGTAAATAGTTCGTTTACTGTGGCACTTTTTACTTTTTTCATTTTAAGATATAATGTCAGTTAATTGCTGCTTACAGAACTACTTATTGAAATATTCAATATTTTAACTAACTTTGAGCTAACCCACATTCAGAAGATTTATTGAAATTTATATGCCTGTATGATTTATGGTTTTTATTGAAATCTAATTTAAAGTTACTCATATTTTTCATATTCCAGGATGAAAAATCGTCTAGTATCAGAAGTTCCAACACCAGCTAGAAAAGTTCTTGATCCTACTATGCCACATCCTGATCGTTATGATTTGTATGATCCTAGAAATCCACTTAATGTTCGTAAGAGAGGTGGAGATGTGGAAAGTGTGACAGAGAAAAAGTCTCGGCGTGTTTAAGGTGTTTCTGACAATTTTGTATTCATTTTTCTGTACATAAGTTGTTGTGAGTGTATTTTATAAACTGGAATACAGCAAGTTTCTTCTAATGAATTAGACAAGTTTTTGTAATTCTTGATTCACTTCCCTTACAAAACAATCAAATTTGTAAATAACTGATTTTATTAGCGCACACTGTTCAACCCAAAACTACTGAATTTCTTGATGACTTGGATTTATGCTTTGTGTTGATGATAAGCATCGGGTGTAATTGTTGGGGAAAATTTAAATATTTATTTAGATTATGTTAATCAAACGAAAGTGTGTTTATTCAACTGATTGAATAATGAAACAACAGTTCGATATTCATTAAAATGAACTTAACATTATGGTTTTTTTGTTTCCGTCACACAGCTAGGGAATTTAAAGATTTTATAAAAAGATTTCACTGAGTTCACTTTGAAGTGAGTAGTGATAAACTATAGATCCCATGAAATTGACTGTTTGATTCCCATTTGTAGTAAATGATATGATGTACCTATAAATATAATACAATTCATTTCATTAAAATTTGAGAAAAGTAGATGTTAATCTCTACTATCAGCTATATGCTTATGTAAAAGATAGTATTAATAAAGTTAGATGATCTCACCTTTAATTAATATTTTGATGTTATTACGTGTGTTAAAATCTGTACTTCCAATTCTTAATTCCACTGCAGCACTCACAACCAATAAACTTCACCTAATTCGAATAAAATAAAGATTTGATGAGAGTATTGGGATTGTTTCAACAATAGGGTAATGAATATCTAGCCACATAATTAATTTTAACAGAATAATGTAAACTCTCATGTCTGTTAGCCTTTCACTTTAAATACATTACCCGATAATCGCAATTTGTAAATTATTTTCATTTGGTGCAGGCTGGATATCAGTTAGTGTAGTTACGTCGAGTAAATATTTTGCATCTCTAAAGGATGCTAATAATTAATCTCTAGGTATTTGTGATTGTTTCATTTCTTTAGCGGGATAACGGATCATTGCATTTTATCCTGATGTCAACTTATCTAATGTAATCAAGCTCAGGTCTGTGTACTGGCTTATGAAAGTTACTGATACTAATCGACCGATTAACATAAAGTAATCGGAGTAGGGTTTGGATATAACCCACTGCCTGTATGTAAAATGATTTAAACACCAAGCCTCCTCTCTGCTGATTTACTAATCCATCACTTGTCTTTGTATTGATCAAAGTGATAACTCGCATACATACAGTTCCTGAAAACTGTATTTCAAGCTCTAAAGACAGGAAACCGTATTTTGAGCGATACTGCTCAATCTTAAGTGATCGTATTGTCACGTGTCTAGGGTTATTATCTCATATGCTAATATTAGCTTATACTTGTGGTTTGTCAACCAAACGTAGTGCCCTTATGTTTCATAACTCATAAAGCTGAAGTAGCTACTTATTAGTTTTCATTGTTTAGCACTTACAATTAATGCTGCGCAGCAGTTCGTTCTGTTTTATTTTACGGCTGCGAAACTTGGCCATTAAGATTAGAGGATACTCGTAAGTTATCAGTATTTGATCATAGATGTCCTGGAAATGTTGCTGGTATCTGCTGAGATCACCGGGTAGGTAATAGTGAGGTTAGATGCAGGGTATGAGGGAATTATGATAAATCAGTTGGTGAGGTTATGAATCTTCATTGAGATGGGTGGGTCGTGTGTTACGCGTGCCCAACTACCACGGCGCGCAATATTTATTTATTTAAACATACTGTTGCGGCGTAAATCTGATTCCTTTTTGATCGTACGTACTATCTATCCTCGTATGTAATAAATGACCTTATCCGCGTTAGTGAATAACGGAGTTAAATAAGTCAAATACGAGAATGGATTTAGAATACGTACAATTTCTACACTCATTGGTCTGGCCAGGGAATCAGAGTGATGAAGCCAATAGATGAGAGCGGAACAAAGCAAAAATGATGCGCATTGGATGTTGGCTGGGAAGCCAACTCGAGAGTGAAGCAAAAATAATGCGTGTTGGAGATTGGCTGGGAAGCCAACTCAATTTAAGCAAGCGTTAATCAACATTTATAGTCCGACAAAAATGAGTGACGGACGTATGATGAATAAGATACGAAGTGTACACATATATGCTCATATAAAAGTATAGCCAAGGTTAATAAGCTAATAATTAACAAGATCAAAATATGACTCATAATGTATAGGAGAATTGGCTTGGCCAGCAACTAGAATAAAGTATATGGGCTTAACATATAAACCGATACTACAATACAAATGTTGGTACAAAGAGGCACCGAATACATATGTGCTACATCATTCGATTTGTATGAGGGCTTGAATACAGCTCAGGGTCACTTCTCGAGCCTTTGACCTAGAGTTCTAATCCATAAGACAGTGGAACGTCAGGACATGTAGTACCATGGTAGCCGGTCACCAACAGTAGGTTCGTACGCCATTTGTTCCCTCAGGATCCTGGAGCCCGCGTGCACCACTGGTTTGGAGTCAGGGTTTTCCAACTCCCCTAGGTGGAACCTCCATATCCATCAATCTTGTTAAAGCGCCGGATATTTGCTTTTCGTCCTCTCAATTTCGTAAACAACCCCGCCACGAGAAGACAGTGAGTGGGACTTCCTTGACAGTGCCTATGTGAAAGCATTTCGAGAGGGAGAGTTGTCTCACCCCACCCTCGGCCGTACAGGGCATTTGGGAACGTACAACGCTGACTAGTGTTGGAGACGGATGAAATAAAGCTAGGGGTGGGCAAACCAAATTGTGGCATCATTTCATAAAGTAATTAACTTCTAGTCTGAGCCATATCGGTAAATGCGGGTTACTTGGTTGGGGTCCGAGGGACTATCGTAACGAGTGTTTAGAGACTCTGGGTAACATGGCTCAGAATCGATCACCATGGTGTAGGTGTATACACTCTTTGTCTTCCCTTAAACCGTGAGATCAAAATTGCTGTATACCTTTATTTCTATGCGCTAATTCGTTCTTCCTGTATTATATCCTTATATTCAATCTTTTTGTATATATTACTACCATTGAAGTAACTAATATGGATTTGGTGTTGATCTTGTTGTGCTAATGAGGTGTGGCAACTTGGATTAATGCATATATGTACCTGGTTCTACGTTGTGGCTGACTGAATTTCGACAAAAGGAAAACGAAGAAGTTCGTTCTCAAATATACCCCCCTAATATTTTTAATAAACGCTTAGCAATGTTAAATGATTGTGGTTATTCCTAATCGTAGTTTATTTATTTATTTAGAATTATTCCTGGCTGTACAGTGCTCTGCTCAACTAAATGGGTTTCATATGCCAGTACTTGATATTGCTCAAGAATAAGCCGCAGAGCAGTCTTCTCATCGACTTTATTCTTGGAACTCCCTTATTAATTTCCACATTTTTAGGTGACTTCAATTAACACAGATGTTGAAGTTAGACATTAACACGTTGGATGCCGGCTCAGTGGTCTATCGGTTAAGGGCTCTGGCTCGAGACTGGTAGGTCCTGGGTTCGAATCTCGCGAGCGTGGGATCGTGGATGCGCACTGCTGAGGAGTCCCATAATAGGACGAAACGGCCGTCCAGTGCTTCCAGGTTTTCCATGGTGGTCTAGCTTCAATCGACTCATGATTTCAACTTTGACAAATGTAACATGAAAATTAGTTAGCAGATATTGGTTGAAAATCAATTGTCAAATTTAGAATTCATCACAAAAGTAGTTTCAGTCGGATGATCCCTGGTTTTCGCCAGAAGGAGAAACTGTTGTTTCTTTTGAAGACTCGATCATTATCTAAAAAATCTATCCATTTGGTAATGTACAGTTTTCGACAACACAAAGTCTACCTTTATCGAAATAATACGATTACAATATGATGGAGGGTTGCGCAACATGGATCGATTAGAGTTAGACATTAACACTGTTAGATGCGGCTCAGTAGTCTAGAGGTTACGTGTTCTTGCGCGAGACCGAAGGTCCTCGGTCCGAGTTCCGCGTGCGGGATCGTGAATGCTCACTGGTGAGGAGTTCCATACTAGGACGAAACGGCTCTCCAGTGCCTCAAGGTTTTCAATGGTGGCCTTACTTAGATTGACTCATGAACTCAACTGTTAAAATTACTATAATCTCCACAAATCCCTATTCTAATAATATTTATAATATCTGGTTTTAGAATCAGTAGTGCTAGTTCTGAACTCGTAAAGTTATGTGTGAGTAGGAAGGTTTTGTTGCATTTGAACTACACTTAAAACACAAACCGTCATTCAGAAACAAAATTGAATCAACTGGTCGAGTGTACAATTGATTCTGAAGTTGAGATCACTCAAATTTGGTGATATTTGCATACGCTACATCACTTTCGCTTCATAACGATAACTTCCGGTTACTTATTTCAGGAATTTATAAAATCCTCATTGCTACTGTTATTAAGCCACTTGATTACGAATTACATTTAACTAAATAAACAATCGGTATTACGATGTAGATGTTACAGAATTATTCAGCACAAAATAAAATTAGAATTAATGGGTCGAAAGTATTCACGAAAACCAATTATTTGATGCATATGTAGTCGTGTATGAAGTAGTTCGTCAAGAGCTGTAAATCATAGCTAATTGTCAAGAGTATTACCATCTCATCCAATGTGATGTGTACTGTATTGTTTCATATCGTCTATTCGGTTTAATGATGTTGTAAATTAAAACAGTTATAATTCAACAAATTAAGGAAGCTACTGTGAACACATTGATTTTTTCGTTTAATAAACTAATCAGGTCAGTGAAACACTAAGTTCTATTTATACCGTTTTCATTATTTTCAGTTTGCAGACTAATATGCACCTTTTGTTTTAGATAACGTTCATTTTAAAATGTAATATTCAAAAATAGTTAACAATTTCTGAGTTTGCGTCTGTCAGCAGACAGTTTAGTGTCCAGAGTTTACTACTGAATTTGACAAAAATCTGTCCTGATCAGAGAACTGTTAGTAAGTGGGATAATGTAATACCATGTCTGACCGCTTACTAAGTCTACATTTCCCCTTGTTTATGAAATACAATCTGAATTTAGGCTGCAGTGTAAAGTACACTTTGTAAATAATCAATCAGCATTTCCAGGATTAGGACGAAGATACTTAGAAGATCAGCTCGTGTGATCAAGTGTAATGATCGAGGATTACATCAAATGATTGAAATCTATCAAACAAAGTTATATCAATAGTCTCAGATTTTTTTATCGTCTCAAAAAGTTGAAGGTTTTGTGATAAGTGTTCCTTGCATTTATACTTTAGTGTGAATACAATGGTTCATGTAATTTTATTTGGTGCGTTCTCCACATATCCTTACTTCGCTTTGAATCTAATGTCCAGAATTTCAACTCATGGTTCAAAAATTAGGCGTGTACGTTTAAAATTACCTAGCTGTACCTATGTAAGTCTAGGTTTGATTCACTCTTTAATGATTTCTCACTAAACATCTGTCAACAAATATGTGTACAAATCATACATGAAATAGTTATAGTGAAGGTGATTATCATCATAGACATTATGGTCAATAATACAATCTCTATTAAATCCACCACTTGAATACTTTTATTTCACTAAATATTTCCTATCTTTAAATAACATATAGTCAGCTTCTTTTTTTCAAAATTTTATTCAAAGTTTGAGCAACCCCCATACACACATTTCGGGAACAAAATGAAAATAGACAGAATGAGAATAAAGTTTTTAAAAAAAAGAACAATAACAACACCAACAACATAGAAGAGTATATAGGATGTCTACAAATAAAATTGGGGGACAACAATTCAAACAGAATTTAATCAACCACTAAAAATTAGTTCAAATGTTAAAATATTACTTAAATGCCTAAATTTTTTTAAACTAATATTCATTATTATTTTGTGTTTTAAAAG